AAAAAAAATATTATAATAATTGTAATGTATATCTGCAGTTTGAAAGGCATTCTTATTGTACATAGTTTTTATGTGCTTTCTAAATATTTTAATAGCATTTTTCAAGTTTGCATTAGGTCTTACCCACCAATAAAGTATATGAGCTTTTACCAATATTATGGGTAAAATATTAATCATGCTATGTTTTCATGAAAATTTCATTCAAATTGAAAAATCAGTATTAAGTATTCAGCGGAAAAGTACAAATACTAATTTTATACCACAATTTCATACTTTTATAGGATATATCTACAAAAATTATACATAGTAATAGTAGTAATAAATAACAATAAACTACACTCTCCTCTTGTTTTAAACATTGCTTATTTATAACATATTTGTTATTGTCATTTTAAAGAATTAGTTCACTATTTTTACAATGTCTGAAATTTGTCTACTGGATGGAAAAACTGCATCAGTCATTCAAACAAATAAATCGGAGCATTTTTATTATCCAAGTGTTCTCTGAGAAATAAATCTCAGTTATGTTTTAATTAGTATAGACTATACTATGAATCTCAAATCTGGAAAATAAATAAATCTACATTTATTTACACAGTTCCTATTTCATATAATATGGAGCAATTGAATCTGTTTTTTTTTTTTTTAAGATTAATTGAAACCACAAATCTTTTTAAAATATATATATATATATTTATCAAATCTATAATTAATTTTGCACAAAAAAAAAAAAAAAAAAATATTTGATTCAAACAACATAATATGTAGAGTGCAGTAAATTTTAACATCTAAATAGGTGTTAGTCTTCATCAAATAAAGTATTAATGTTAATGAGGGTTTAATAATAAAATAGTAAACTACATATAGATAAAATTGTTAAATTACATTTCAAGACTGAATTAAAATATTAATATAAATAAAAAAAATATATACATTTATAAAAAACATATTTATCAAATCAATAATTTATTTTACACAAAAAAAAAAAAAAAAAAATATTTGAT